TGGAAACAGAGATTCCGGAGGGATGGAAGGGGAAATGTGGGATTTAATTCCATGTGGAGAATGGGGAAGATTCTAATTGGGATGTGGGAATTGTCCCTGAGGTGCTTTCTGGTGTAATTGGGGTCCTGAGGGTGCGATTTGAAGGGTCCCAGGAGCTTCAACTCCAGCTTGGGATGGGAGGAAAACTTGGAAAACCGGGAAAAATGGCCTGAAAAATTCCCTAACAACTTCCTGAGGGCTCGGCCTCAGTGTCCCACCAGATATTTTGGGATTTTGAGGGTTTTAGGACTATTTTTCCCTCATTCTGGGCTGTGTTTCCCACTGGATGCTCCCACGGGAAAGCTCTGGCTGCCACATCTTCCCTGGGAGGTTTTTCCTTGGATTCCATGATCCTGGAGATCTTTCCCAGCATAAAAATGGTTCTTTTGGAATATGTTCAGGCTTCTTCCCCTCAAAAGTTGCAGGGGGAGGGTCTGGAGAGTTTGGGGTCTTTCCTTCCCCTCTTTCCTTCCCTTCTTTCTTTCCTTCTTTCCCTTTCCTTTTTTCCCTTCTCCCTTTTCTCCCCCTTTTCCCCTCTCCTTCCCCTCCTTGTTCGGGAATATTTTACCCCCTGAACTCCACAGTTTTACCCCTTTGAAGCAGGAAAACATGTCCCAATTACCTCATAAAAGATGGATGTGGGATAATCCCTCATTCCCAGGCGTGCCTGGAATAATTCCGGACAATAAATGTGTGGATTTCCCTGGAATACAGACACCTCATTATCTCCCACCTTCCACTTCCCCCCCCAGGCCCCAAGAGGGACATTAAGGAATTATTCCTTTTAAATCCTGAGATGGGGTTTGGTATTCCAGGAGCACCTTTGGGATAGGAAGAGCCACTGGAATTGGCCTTTCCTTGTGTTTAAAAGGCTTCTGAAAACTGATTATCCTGTTTTTTTGGGGGGGAAAAACCCTGCAATTCCAGGCAGGCTGGTGCTGCTCCTTCTTTCCTTTGGGATAAAATCCCTGGATTGATGCATTTTGTGGCTGTTTTGGGGCAAAAATATTGACTTTTGGGTCAGAACCCACCAAGGAGTGTGTGAAAAGAAAGGATAAAAAAGTTTATTTTGCTCTACTTGAACTTCACATGTTTTGGGGGAGAAAAAAATCCCAAAGTATAGGGTTTAAATTTCCTGGGAATTCAGCAGAATTTGGGATAAAACTGGAACTGGGAGTTCTAAACAAAAAAACCTTCCCACCACAGCACAGGAATTTGGGCTGTTGGGGTGTTAAATCTTTATGTATTTTATTTAAATGTTATTTATATAATCTATAATAGATTTTATATATTTATATATTTTATTTCCTGGCCAGAATTCCCTTTTCCAAACCCTCATCCCAACCCTGGGTGTGTTTATTCCCCCCTTCCCACTTAATTCCTGTTCATTGTCCTCCTTTAAACTGAATAAAACTCTTATTTTTTGGCTGCTCAGGTGGAATTTTTGGGGGGATTTTTGAGCTTCGCCGGAAACTTCACAGACAATTTGTGTTTTTTTCAGCTTTTTGGGAGGACTTTGCAGTGTTTTTTTATGAGAAATCCCTGGATTTTTAGTGTCTGATCCCATTTTTTACTCAGGATTTAATTCCTTGTGCTCCACAGGGGGGGTCAGGGGCCACCTGGGGCCTCCAGAGTGTTGGAAATTGGATTTTTATTGGAAAATAATTAGAAAATGCCAATTTCTGTGTACTCAGGGATGATCCCCAAGATGGAAATAACCCGGAATATGAGACTCCATAATTCCAAAGCCAATTATCCACGTGATCCTTTCCAGGAGCCCAAAACACCCCCAAACCCCCCAATTTTTGTTTAATTCTTTCAAACACCAGTTTTTTTCAGCCGAATCTCCCTGAAACTGATAAAAACCCAGACAAATTTCTCCCTGTTTCTCACTTTTCCACCCAAATTTTCCTTGAATAATCAGTCTGGATGAAGCAAAAACAGCTCTGGAATTGGGAATTTGGGAATTGAGGGGTTTTTTTGACTTGCTGGCTGAGAAATTTAACTATTTTCCTTCTGCTCCCAGTCTCTTGTAACAATCCTCTGCATTTCCATGGGATCTGGGGAAGTTTCCTGCAGAAATTTGATCCTTCCAGCCAGATTTGGGTTGTTTTGCTCCCCGTAAATTCCCTTAAAACAACAATATTTGATTGAAATCTGGATTTTTGGGGCAGTTTTTGGGCTTTCCTGTGTCTCTATAACCCCCCCACCTCCTCTTGTGTTAATTCCTGTTTTCCCACTGAATTCCCACTCGGATTTAGTGGGTTTTTCCAGCCCTTCATGTTGAAAACTCCCACTTAAAGCTAGGTTGGAATTCCCAGGGATCTGCCGGGTCCCAGGAGCTTTACCAGGTGAAATATTAATTAATATTATTTAATTATCAAGAAGTAACCATTTTATCCCATTTTATCTATCCGTGGGCTTTGATCCCATTCCCAATATTCCGTTTTCTCCTCAAAATTCCCTTTTCCAAACCGTCATTTGTTCCACCCCCTTTAATTCCTGTTGATTTTCCTCCTTTAAACTGCACAACAAAACTCCATTTTTTGGCTGCTCGGGTGGGATTTTTGGGGGGATTTTTGACTTTTCTCAAAAAACTCCACAGACAACTCATATTTTTTCCAGCTTTTTTATGGACTTTGAGGTGTTTTTGCCCCGATTTGCTCCCGGGATGCCCCTGCAGAGGCACTTTTTAAACATCCCTTTGTTCCATGGATTAGAACCCAGGGAATTAAAACACTCCCAAGGTGCTCCAAACCCCTCATTCCTGAGCATTCCCACCGATTTTTTTCCCAAAAATAAGATTATAAAAGGGATTTTGGTCTTGGTTTTGTTGAATTGCTGCATTTTAAGCCCGGCTTTGGGTTTAAAGCCCTTCCAAAGGGTTCTAATCCCGGGATCAGAGGTCGGGGCGGGAGCTCCAGCCTTTCCTAAGCTCCGGCTTTATCTGGAATCCGAAGGTTTTCCTGGCACAGCATTTCCTGGTTGTGGCCACAGGCCACAGAGCAAAGCAGGGAAGTGAAACTGGGCTGGAATCCCTCGGATCCCCCTGGAATTCCCAACTCCAGACTTGGTTTTTAGTGATGAAGGAGTTTTAACTGGGAAAAGCTGAAGGCAGGAGTTTAATCCCTTCCTTTTGGGACTCTTTGCAGGTAAAAAATTCCTTTTCCTGTTTGTTTTTTTTTTTGTACAGAAAGTAGGGTTGATTTCATCTGGGATTTCAATCGTTGGGATTCACTCCTTGGGAATAAGTTTGGGAGCTTGGAAGAAAAGTCCAGAGTAGAAAAGACTGGTTTTAAATCCCAACCCTGTCCCTGTTCCTGGAGCATTCCCAAGACTTGTGAATCCTTAAAAACAATCCTGGGAATTGTAAAAATCCTTAAAAAAATCCTGGGACCTGTAAATCCTTTAAAAAAATTCCTGGGACTTGTCAATCCTTAAAAAAATTCCCTGGCACTTTTGAATCCTTAAAAACAACCCCGATCTAGGGGTTAATTAATCCTGCAGCAAATTCCCTGTCAGGTCATTCCTGCCCCTTTTCCTGCCAGGGACAAACTCTCCCAATATCCCAAATATTTTGTGCCTCCGGATCCCTCTGTTTTCCAGAGGAAAATGAGAATTTTGGAGTCTGTTTTCCATAGAAAATGGGAACTTTGGGAGCTTTTCCACTGCTCCATCGGGAGGTTTATCCCAGAGCCGGATCTATTGTTCCCTCACCTTTGGATCCTGGTCTTTGTTTAACCCTTATCCTGCCTTTTTTTTCCCCAAGGAAAATCCCCCCCTGGAATTCCCACCTTGGAGGGTGGGTTGTGCCCCTTGAAAAAAGCAGGAAGAAGGGGTTAAATCTGGGGGGTTTTGGGATTTTGCCTTTTCTGGGGGAATCAATCCTGAAATCCAGGAGTTTGGGTTGGCCCTGGGTGGGATCTGATCCCGAAATGTTGGGATTTGTGGCAGTTTTTATTGTTTTAGTTCCAATCTCGATTTTTTCACTCACTGTCAGGGGTTTAAAGTGGCTTTAAATTCAAGGGTTGAACTGAAGCAAATCCAAAGGGATTTTGGGCTTTGTGGATATTTTATGGATAATTTATAATGGAATAAAGTTCATATTACATAACATTTATATTGAGTATAATTTATGTGTTTGTATTAAGCAGAAAGTATATTATACAACATACAGATTATATTTAATAAGATCTATACAGCATAGAATATACATTGTATAAAATTAATATAGAAAATATTTATATATAACATGTTATTATATAATATTTTATAAATATACAAAATAATGTTATAAATATGTAAATTTTCCTTTAAATACATATTATGTGCTGTAAAATTTATAAGGTATAAAAATTATATGCTGTAAAATTCATAATAGAATAATTTATGTGATATAAAACTATATTAGAAAAAGCTATATGAAATTATATATATTTATAATATATGGAGGTTATTTTATCTGGGATTTATTTTATATGCCATTTATGTTATAAGAATTTATAATATATAGAATTATTACATTTATGCTATAAACATTATAATATATAACATTACATACAATTTATAGTATATTTAATTCTGTAATATATAAATTAAAGTATAGAAATCATAGTGATTGTAGACAATATTTTATAGCATTATTTTTTATATTTCTAACATTTAATATCATTAATAACACATAAATTAAACCTATATAATAAATACAAATTTATATCTATTTTTAGCTGTTTTTTTTCCTGTCTGGCTCTTTTATCCCTTTCAAATCCCAACTCCTTAAAAACCCCTGGAAGCCTCTGGGAACACTTTGCCTCCCACCCCAGCAATTCCCTCCTTTCATCCCTTGTTGTTGTTCCCTCTTTTCTCTTCCAGAAATTCCACCTGGTGCTGGACAGAACCTCCCCCAGGAAGGAGCTGCTCTGCCTGTCCCCACATTCCCAACAGCTCCCCAGTCCCCCAAAAACGCTCAGAATTCCCATTATTTCTCCCGTTTTTGTGGCCGAATTTGGAGCCGGAAATGTCTAAAAAGCAGAACACAAAAGGTAAGACGTGACAGGGTCAAACCTCCCGTTTTCCACCCGGCCCAGGGCTGGTGATTCCCAAGTTTTTTAATTGGGAAAAGGCCTCGTTCTCCCGCCGTTCCCTGTGACAGCTCCTTGTCAGGTCTCGGTGACATCTGGGACCTTCCGGGCTCGGTGACATTTTTAGGAGCATTTCAACTCCCCACTTGGACAGCTGTGACTTCCAGGCTCTCATGGGAATATCTCAGCCTTTCCACGGGCAGCAGGAGTGAAAAGAGCAGGAAAAAAGGGGAACGTTGAGGGAAAAATAACAGTTGGGAAGTGGCAGAGCTGGACTTTGTGGGGTTTTTGGGATCCCAGTGGTGAAATCCCATTGCTGGGCCTGGATTTGGGGTGTGTTTTTATTCCTTATGGATTAATTCTCCCCAAATTTGGTCGTGTTTTCCACAGATACTGGGATTTGGGGACAGGATTCCTCCTTGGAGTGGCTCGTGGGAGCCCCTTCCTAGGAGTCCAGTCAAGGAATGAGCCTGGATTTGGGGTGGGAAGGCTCAGGCCTTGGGAAAACACTTCCCTCTTGGAAAAGCACCTCAAATGAACCCTCTCCAAGCCTTTTTTTCCTTGGATGTGGCACCAGGAGCAGTTTTTTCTCTCCCCGCCCACCTTTCTGTGCCACCTCGGAGCTGATTCCAGGAGATTCTTTGTGCGGAATATTAATTCCAGAGGGTGTTTGTGTGTCGGGAGGTCACATTTTCTCTTTATTTGCACTGACTAATTAATAATTTAAGGCTCCTGAGTTGACAATTCCCGTCCTCTCCCTCCTGGAAGAGCTTTTGTTCTCCATAAAGTGGTTATTTCCAGAGGCTTTGTCGCAGAAATGCCATCAACCTGAGGAGCCCTGAGCTGGATCCAGGCACTTAGTCCTGGAAATCGGGATATGGGGTCATTTGGGAGTGGTTTCCAATGGTTGTGTTGGAGTTTGAGCCCTTGGAATCATTTAAGGAATCCTTTAAGGATTTAAGGAATGGAGTCGGTTCCGTCAGTGCTGAGGGAAAATCCCACCTGGGAAGGGAACTGAGGGGTCTAGGAGGGGAAAAACAAGGGGGAAACTGAGGGAAAAGATGGGAAGTTGTGGGAAAACATTGGGAAGTTATTTTGAGGGAATTCAGGCTCTGGCCAGAGGGAAAATCTGGCTTTTCCTGACATGGGGAAGGAGCTTTTCCTGACCTGGGGAAGGAGCTTTTCCCAACCCAAGGAAGGATCTTTCCCTTCCCACAAAAATGCAAATTCCGAACTCTTGAGTCCCGGCGGCCGCGTTTGAAATTCCGTCCCTTCCCGGGGAGCCCCAGTGCCAGCAGATCCCATTAAGGATTCCTGGGAGCACATCCAGGGCCGTATCCAGCGGGTTTGGGGTCGGCTAAGGCGCATAATTTTTGCATGAGAAGTGTCTGAGCTCCAGGAGGATTTGGGGCTGGAGCAAAGCAGCCGGAGAAGGGGCTTGGAAGGAGCTCCCTGCCCTGGGAATCCCAGCACTTCCAGCTGGGAATAGGCACTTGCCAGGGCTCAGGAGCCTCTTTAGTGTCCTTGGTGATGATTTGGGATCAGTCTGGACAAGGGGATGGAGGCACATTCAGGATGGCACCGAGTTGGGTGGGATGTGGGAAGGGACAGAGGGATGGGCCAGGCTGGATCCGTGGGATCCTGGAACTCTGGGATTCCTTCCCCAGGATCCTCAGTGGCTGCTCTGCCGTGAAAATTTTGGGGGGAAACATCATTAATTCCCCCTGTTGAGGTGAGGTTGGAGCCCTTTGGAAGATGAAGGGCTGGAATGCTGGGGAGTGACGTGGGGGGGCGGGAATGTGGATCCAGCCAAGGGGCTTTGAGGGATTTATCCTCTCAGAATCCAGGGCTGACCTTTCCATCATTCCCAGGGCTCTGTCACTGTGTTTGGAGCTGTGGGGGAGGAAAAGCTCCGTCAATGTCTGGGAGTCAATGGGGCGTCTCCGACCCACGTCCTGGTTATTTACAGGAGGGGAGGGGGGGAACCAGCGGCTCTGGGATATCGGGAATGTCGGTGGGATGGAGCAGGGAGGGCAGGGACACAGCCAGGGACACTCTGCAGGAGAACTGGGCTGTGGGATCCCCAGATCATGGGGAGCTGCCAAGGAAAAGGGATCCGGGTGTGATTTACTGGGACAGAAATGGGGTGACCTGGGGGTTCAGGTCTCAGGAGGGAACAGGTGTCATGGAATTTCTGGGGAGTCCTGGAATTATTAAGGTTGAAAGAGCCCCCTCAAACAGTTGGATTTGGTGTCTCAGGGGGCTTTTCCAGCCGTAATAATTCCAGCACCAAGAGGGTCATGGGATTTCCAGGGGGTTCATGGGATTAGTAAGTTTGGAAAAGCCCCCTCAAACAGTTGGATTTGGTGTCTGAGGGGACTTTTCCAGCCTTAATAATTCCATGACTCCCTGGAAAGGGCTGGTGGTGCCAAATGGGGTCATTCCAGACCTCGGGGTCCTGTTTTTATCCCCTCCAAGGCCCTTCCTGAGCCCTAAACCACCATATTTTATCCCAGAAAACCACAGCAACATCCCTTTTCCTTCTTAAAACCTGGAATTAGACCTGCCTGGCAGGAAGTCCCCCCGGGAATGGCTGGGGATGTGCAGATTTATGTGACCTTTTGGATGTCAGTGATGGCTCGTCTCCGTTTATGGGTCTCTTGGAGCATCCAAACATTCCCTGGGAGCTCCTGGAACACAAACTGCTGGATCTTCATTCCCATTTATCAGTCTGGATGCCACTGGTGTCTCCAGGAGGAGGAAATTGGTATCCAAGGGCTGCTCCAGAGGCTCCTTAACTCTTTGTTGCTGGGATCAGGGGGAGGTTTAATGTGGGGATGAGGGGTGGGAATGGTCCTTGTTCATCCCAGTCTCTGCTCTGGGGGATCCCAGGGAATGGCTGGATTTTGGGATAAATCCAACCCCCAGGGGGTGCTGGGGCCCTGGAACAGCTCCCCGGGGAAGGAAGAGGCTCCAAACCTGCCAGAGCTCAGGGAAAGGCTCTGAAAAGTTGGGAATTGGGGAGGTTTCGGGGTGTCCTGAGCAGGGCCTGGAGCTGGACTTTGATCCAGGATAGTATTCCATAATTCCAGAGGTCAGGGAGGGTTTGGACAATGCTCTCAGGTGCTGGGATTTTTGGATTAGTGGGATTTGGGGTCCATGTTCTCCTTGGCACAGTTATTTAGGACTTTCCTTTTCCCACAGATCCCTCGGGATTTATCTTTGATGTTCAGTCCAACACTGTGATGGCCCAGGGAGGGACCTTTGAGAACATGAAGGAAAAGGTAAAGGAGCCTTTGGAATCTTTATTCCAGATAAATCACCTCCCACAGCCCAAATTCCAGCCAGTTTTCCATGTTTTTCCCCCCAGATCGGAGCTGTCCGAGCGATCGTTCCCAACAGGAGCAACAACGAGATCGTCCTGGTCCTGCAGCACTTTGACAACTGTGTGGATAAAACAGTCCAGGCCTTCATGGAAGGTGGGAATTCTGGGATTTGGGATGGAATTTGGGGTGTGGGAGGTTCATCCCGTGTTTGTGGACAGGGATTTGGTGCCCAAACCTGTGAAATGACAGAGCCAAAGGGGAGATTTCGGGGATTTTTTTTCCTCAGAAACTTGGATTTTTCCCCTGGAAAATGGGATTTTTCCCCCCAAAAGTGGGATTTTTTTCCCTGTATCCCAAGGGAGCAACATCTCAATTGGGAATTCCCAAAGTCCAGCTCAACCCCCTCCTTTTATTCCATCAACCAGGAGATTTGCAACTTGGTTTTCCAGGTGTGTGGAAGCACCTCCAAGTGTCTGGGAAGGACCTGGAATGCTCCTTTTCCCACCTCTCATCCCTGTTTTCCTTTACAGGGAATGCCAGTGAGGTGCTGAAGGAATGGACTGTGACAGGCAAAAAAAAGGTACCACCCCTTAAATATTCCCTAAAACCTTTGGAATTTGGGGGATCCAGTTGGGAATGGTGGGAAAGGGAATCCCACGGGGAGTCTGAGCTGCACCTTGTGGGGACCTGGCACAGAAATTCCCTGTTTTCCTGTGGGATTTCCATGAGATTTCCCATGAGATTCCTGTGGGATTTTTACGAGATTTCCCACGGGATTCCTGTGATTTCCCATGAGATTTCCTGTGGGATTCCAGTGGGATTTCCATGAGATTTCCCAAGGATTCCCATGGCATTTCCATGAGATTTCACAGGGCATGACACCTTCACACCTCATTAATCCCCCTGCATTCCCATATTGTGGGATAAATCCCTCCCTCTTCAAACCCATTTAACTCCCTTCCCTTCCAGCCAAAATTCCCTCCAGGAATCACAAATCCCCTCAGGAATCACAACTAACATATTTTTTCCCCCCCCGCCGAAATTCCCAGAACAAAAAGAAGAAACCCAAACCCAAACTTCCCAGTGGCTCCAGCTCTGCCCTCCCAGCCCCTGGAAAACCAGTTCCTCCTGGAGAGGAGACCCCGGGAAACTGGGAGAAGGGGGGGGATGAACGGATTCCACGTGAACGGCTGCGCCCAGGACACGGAATCTGTGGATTCCCTGAGCGAGGGCCTGGATGGGATGTCGATGGATGGCAGGGAAGTGGATGGTCAGTGCTGGAAAACCAGGAATGGGAATGGTGGGGAGGGGCTGGAGGGCATTTGGGGGTATTTTCCTTGGGTTTGGGTGCTAAATCCTGATTTTCTGGTGGAGTTTTTGGGGGGATGTTTTTGGGTCCTACATCCTGATTTTTCCAGGTATTTTTTCAGCACAGCCTTGATTTTCTGTTTTTTTTTTTTCTGGGAGGTGTCTTCCTTGGTTTTGGGTCCCAAATCCAGATTTTTGCTGGATTTTTTGGGCTCAGAGTTTGCCTTTCCCCAGCAGAGCCCGGCCTGAGGAATGGACTGTCCGGCCCTGACCCCCCAAGGCTCCCCATCCCTCCCCCCAGGGCTCTGCCCACCCCCCACTCCGACCCCCGGGAAGAGGCTCCGGTGTCACCCCCCGGCAGGAAAATGGGTAAGGACACAAAACCTTGGGAGTGTGGAGGGATTGGAGGGTTTGGAGCCGCTCCTGGAGGAGGAGAGGCCTTGGGAGCTGGGCTTGGTTAGGCCAGACTGGGAGGGGAACTCATCAGTCTGTAAAATATGTCAGATATCCATAAAATATATGTCAAATATCCATAAAAATACAGGAAAAGCTGCTCAAGCCTTGGATAATTGAGGGAAAACCATAAAGCCATGGATTCATGGAATGGTCTGGGTTGGGAGGGACATTAAAGGTGATCCAGTGCCACCCCCTGCCCTGGGCAGGGGCACCTCCCATAGTCCGGGTCCTTCCTCCTCCTCCTCCCAGCACAGCAGGAATTCCAGCACTTTCTCTGGAGCAGGGACAGCTCATCCCTCCCCCACATCCCATCACATCCCGGGGCTGTTCCTGAGAACCTGTGAAGGGTCAGGCCGGGGCTGTGACAACGAGTGACAACAAGTGACAGCCCTGGAGGGGGTTCCCCCCCCCTTTTGGGGTGTTTTGTCCAAATCTGGGATGTGACAATAACAGGGAGGGACAGGAGGGACCTGGAGACCCCCCGGTGACCGGGGAGGTTGTGCTGGGGGGGATCAGGGGTGGAGTTCAGGGAATGGTGGAACAAGATCCGTAATTTCACTTGGCAGGAGCCAAACTCTGCCCCCGGGACCCGAAAGGACGGGTCCTGTCACCTCCTGGTGGGAGGATTTTCATCCCTTGGAGAGTCCAGACATTCAATCCCGGAGAAGTCATGGATTTCCCATCCGTGGCAGTGTCCCAGGCCAGGCTGGAGCCACCTGGGATAGTGTGAGATGTCCCGGTGGTGGAGGAGCTTTAAGGTCCCTTCCAACCCAAACCATTCCATAATTCCATGAAATTCCCCTCCCCGGACAAACTGTTGATCTCCCTCGTGCTTTGGAGCAGCCTGGGCTTTGCTCATCTCCAGCCCAAACCCAGCCCAGGGCTGCCTTTGATCCCTGCCGTGCTTCTGCAACATCCCTTCCCGTGCCCGTGGGAAGGATCCAGGGGCTGGAATTGCCTCCAGAGGCTGGAATTGCCTCCAGGGGCTGGAATTGCCTCCCGAGGCTGGAATTGCCTCCAGAGGCTGGAATTGCCCGTTCCCTCCCGTTCCAGGGTCAAACATCGAGAAGTCGGTGAAGGACCTGCAGCGCTGCTCCGTGTCCCTGGCGCGGTACCGGGCCCTGCTCAAGGAGGAGATGGACACCTCCATCAGGAAGATGAAGCAGGTCTTTGCCGAGCTCCAGAGCAGGTGGGTGGGAATTTGGGGATGGATCCTGCTCCTGGGATGGCTGGAATTGGTTGTCCAGTGGGGTTTGGGCTGCACCACCCTCTGGGAGTGTCCCAGGATGGTGGGAGGTGTCGCTGCCCATGGAGCTGGATGGGCTGTAAGCTGCTTCTCAACCCAAAACATTCCATGATTCCATGATTTTCCCTGAATTATTCCAGGCTTGAGCAGCTCTTCCTGTTTATTTGCCTGGGGTCATGGAACAGTTTGGGTTGGAATCACCTTTAAAGGGCATTTTTCTTCCCTGGGGGCTCCAGGAGCTGAAGAGGGACAAAGACGAGGGGTGAGGGGCTTCCATCTGGAAAACGGGAGATTTAGATGGAATTTTGGGATGAAATTCCTGCCTATGAGGCTGTGAGGGGCTGGGATGGATTTTCCAGAGGATTTCCCATCCCTGGGAGTCCCAGGCCAGGTTGGATCCCCCGGGATAGTGGGAGGTGTCCCTGCCCACAGCAGGGGTGGGACTGGACGAGCTTTGAGGTCCCTCCCGACCCAAACCATTCCATGAATCCATGACCAAAACCAGCCAGGGCTGTGCCTTGGTTTGCCCCCTGAGCCGAGCTGGAAGGAGACATTTTGGGATGTGGAAGGAGAAGTTTTGGGATCTTGTGGCCTGTTCCTGCCTGTACCTGGAGGAACAAACATTCCCATTCGAAACCCTTAAATTAGGCTTGACTTTGATGTCACCAGGGAGGTCTAAAAACACATCAAAAGCCTTGTTTTCCCATTTTAATCCAGCCTTAAACTGTGCCCTCTGTGTGTAATTAGTGCTGGGGTTTAATTGGGACTGGGTTTGTGCTGGGGATGATGTTTGGAGCAGCTGATTGAACCCAGCCCTGAGAAACTGCACAAATATTGGTTTTGGGGGAAGAAAATATCCATAAAACAAGACAATATCCATAAAACCCTGCCCTGGGTTGACAAGGAGCTGAAATCCTGCTCCCGCATCCCGGGATTTCAGCAGCTCTTGGTGTCAAAAGCTGTTTGTGTCAAAAACCTGACAGTTTTAAGTTACTAAAAACAAGAATTTAAAACCTTTTAGCCACTTTTGCCTGCTCATTGTGGCCTTGTTCTTGTGCTCCTGCAACATTCCCACCGGAAAGTGCTTCCCTGAAGGAAGTGGGGTTTTTTTCCAGGCTTAAAATCAACTTAAAATCAGTTAAAAATGGGAATCAATAAGTCTGGAACTTCCCTGAGGGTTTGGGTCGAAGGTGCCCAGGGGGTTTTGGGGTCTCTGGGCTGAGCCTGGAGAACTCCCAGAGGGAATTCCAGCCTTTTCCCAGCTATATTGTCTTTATTATATAATTATATATATTTACATATTATTGTATATAATACACAGAATATATTATAATTATAATTTTGATAATATATCTTATAATTCCTACAATGTATTATTATCTATATTATATAACATTAACTATATTATTATCAAAATTCTATGTTATTGGAGTGGGGGTTTAAGGATTTTTTAACCTCTCCACACAAATTCCACGTGTAAAAACCTTCTTCCAGGTCTGGAAAACATCCTTTCCTTGGTTAACAGGGATTAATCCTGGTACTAATTCCTGGTTAACAGGGATTAATCCTGGGAACAGGATGAGGCCCTGAGACTGTTCCTGCATTATAATTAATCATTAATTAAGGAATATTTAATTAACCCACGTTCCCACCCTTCTCCAGATCCGGGAATTCCGGATGCTCACACGGAGATGGGCAGGAGGGAAAGGGAAGCTGTGGGAGGGGAAGATCCAGATGTGAACACTCTGGGAATGGCTGGGAATGGCCTGAAATGGCTGGGAATTCATTAATTAAGGCTGAGAATGGCTGAAATGGCTGGGAATTCATTAATTAAGGCTAGGAATGGCTTGGAATGGCTGGGAATTAATTAAATAAGGCCACATTCCCCCCTTCTCCCCCAGCTCCCGGAATTCCTGCCCTTTCCAGGGGACACTGAGGGACCTGTGGGTGCTGCACGTCCAGGTGTGGCCACCCTGGGAATTCCTGGGAGCAGGGAGAAGCCTCATTCCCGTGGCTCTGCCCCTTCCCTGCCCTGGAAAAAGGCAGGAGGAGGGAGCCATAAATCACCAGAAGCAGCCAAATGTCAGAGCTGCTGTTCCAGGGAATTGTGGAGATTGATCCCCCTCCCTCCCAGGGAAGGGGGGGTTGGTATTTCAGTGCCTCAGACAGGGACTAAATTAAACATTCTACCCATTTTCCAACATTTTTCCCTCAAAAAAGGCGAGGGATGAAGGGCTGACCCCGCTGTCCCCCGGTGGCTCCGAGGGGGGAACAGGGACAGGAGGGTTTGGGCTTTTGTAGTTGGGAATGAAAAGGGAAATGAGCCCAATTAAAGGGCTGGATTTGAATTCCTGACTCACCTGGAGCAGTGGGAACCAGGAACGGGGGCAGGGGGGGCTTAGAGGGGCCCAGGGTCTGTCTGGGAGCCAGTTCCTGCACAAAGCCAGACTGGGGGGACTGGGATTCCTTTGGGGATTGTGAGCACCTGGGGGAACGGGTGGGAAAGGCTCTGGAGTGGGAGCAGAGGGATGTGGAGATCCGGGAGGCTCTGGGGCATCTGAGAGGGTTCTGCCTTCCCTGGGGGGCTGTTCCTCACCTGAGAGAGCTCCGGCTCACCCCGGGGATTTGGGGTCACCTGGGTGGGCTCGGGGTGACCTGAGGGGGCTCTCAGTCACCTAAAGGGGCTCTGGGGCACCTGAGGATGTTTTGCCTCCCCTGGGGGGGCTTTGGGTGACCTGAGGGGGCTCCAGGACACCCGAGGGGGTCTCTGTGTTCCCCTGAGGGGTCTCTGTCCCCCCCCCAAGGGGTCTCTGCTCCCCCCCGGGCTGACTCTGGCCCAGGGTTTGGTGCTGCTGTTCTGGGGGGATTTCAGTCTCATGGCACCAGACCCTCCTGAGCCCCTGGGGCTGTACCCTGCCCAGGTGTCCCCCGTGTGTCCCCCGTGTGTCCTCCGTGTGTCCCCGTGTGTCCCCCATGTGTCCCCAAGGGCCTCAGGCATGGCAGAATCCCTGTGCTGGGCTCCAGGTGAGCTCCAGGTGCCCCGTGGGGCTCCCAGTTCCTGCTCCCCAGTTCATCCTCCTGTCCCCAAGTCTCTGCTCCCAGTTCCTGCTCCCCAATTCCTCCTGTCCCCAGTTCCTCCCTGTCCCCTCCCCATTCCAGCCCAATCCGGGGCTCTCCAGGCGCTTCCCGCGGTTCCAGCTCCACCTGCCGGTGTGTCCCGGCTGGATCCTCCTCCTGGAGCCTTTCCCTGCCCTCTCCAGCACTAAATCCCTTCCCTTTTCCCTGTTTTCCGCAGCCTCATGGACCGGGAAGTGGCTTTGCTGGCCGAGATGGACAAAGTGAAGGCAGAAGCAAGTAAGGGGCTGTTCTTGGAGGGGTTTTCCCAGGATTTTCCTCCTGTTCCCATCATTCCCAAACACCTCAGGACTCCATCATGGCTGTTACAAACCTCCCCAGAGGGTGGGAATTCCCGAAATCCTGACATTCCTGAGGATGGAAACAGCTTTTCTGCTCACCTTTAGGGTCCCTCCCAACCCAAGCCATTCCATAAAATTCCATTAAATTCCCTTCAGGGTTTCTCCTACATCCCACCTTTCGGGATAGGGGGGCTGATGGGATTTCCCCGACAGAATGGGGACAAATCTAACGGAAGAGACCCAAATTCCAAAGGTGACAAAGGGACAGAGTGCTCCCGACGTCCCTCCTGGAGCTTCCACCTCTGTTTTGGTGCCTGTTTGGAGCTGGAATTACCCCAGGGAGGGGCCTGGGGGGTCGGAGGGGTGGTTTTTCCCTGATCCAGGGCTGTTTTCCCAGTGGAGATCCTGGTGGGGAGGCAGAGGAGGGCGGAGGCCCTGCGGAAACTCACAGACGGGGCCGCGCGGATGTCGGAGGAGCAGCTGCTGGAGCTCAGGGCTGACATCAAGGTGGGCCCTGGGGGCACCTGGGGGGGCACCTTGAATTCCAAACACCTCGGATTCCAAACAGAATTTAAAGTGGTTTTGTAAAATCCTGATTTCACCCAACACCTGGGGAAAGTTCCACATTCCCTAAATTCCCTGAAACCCCTCCTGTCCTGGGCTGAACCAGGAGGGTCTCCCCCATCCACCACAGAACTGGGAGGATCTCCCTGTTCCCTGCTCCCCTTCCCAGCCCAAATCCCCCCTTTTTCCCCCCTTTTGGCAGCACTTTGTGAGCGAGCGCAAGTACGACGAGGAGCTGGGCAGGGCCGGCAGGTTCACCTGCGACCTGGAGGGGCTCAAGAGGAGCATCACCTGCTTCGGCCAAGGTGGGCTGGGGGCTCCTGGGGGTCACTCCCCTGAGCCCCCCCCGTCTGCTCCCAGAGTATCCTGTCCGGTATCCCAGTGATCCCTCTGACCCCTCCCCTGCTGTCTCTGTTCCAGTGTCCCACCCCAAGACCAGCTATTCCAGCCGCTCCCGCTGCAGCTCCGGCCCCCCCGGGGCCCCCCCCGGGCCCCCCCAGTGCCTCCCCCACCCCCAGCACGGCCGGGAAAGCCCCGGGACCCCCCGAGGGGGCTCTGGGGGACACCGGGGGGGGACGGCCCCAGCCCCCCCCGAGAGGTGGGTCTGGAGAGGGGATGGGGGGGTCTGGGGGGCTCTGGGGGGTTCCCTGGATGGATCGGGCCTACGGATTGGGGGTTCAGGGGACGGGGGTGTTTGAGGGGGGGGGTCCAGGTTCTCACCCCCTCTCATTCCCAGCCTTCCCAGATTCTCAGGATTTAGGTGTTCCCAGAGCGGGATTTGGGGGTCCAGGGGAGGGGGTTTGGAGGTTCCCAAATTCCCAGGATTTGGGGTTCCAGGGGAGGGGGTTTTGGGGGGGGTCCCTGTTCTCACCCCCCTCCATTCCCAGCCTTCCCAGCGGATCCGGAGGGCAGAAGCAGGACCTGGAGCCCCGACCCCGCGGCACAACGGCCCCCCTGAGCCCCCCAACAGCGGGACCCGGCCCGGCCCCCGCAACCCTCCGACCCCGGGCCCCCCAACCGCCCCCGGGGGGGGGGCTCCCCCCACGGAGACCCCGCAAGAGCCACCCCAAGGGAGCGAATTCCTGAGGAAAACTCTGGGATCCTGACGGGGGTCCCAGCCACGTTTACAATTCCCGTTCTGTGCCATTTCCCCTCCTTTTTACCCCTTTCTCCCCCCCCATCCTGGTCTGTTCCATGTTGTCCCATCGGGATTTGGGGGTTCAGGACCCCCCCAGTGCTGCCATCGCCCCCTCCCCCCTCCTTCCGCTCCATCCCAAAAATCCCTCGCGCTGGAAGCGAGGAGGAGCAGGGGGAGGAGGGGCCTCTGACCCCCCCAGGATCTGGAATGTTCTCCTCTGGGAACTGGGGAGTCCCCTCTGTCTCCCCCAAATCTGGGATGTCCCCTGAGTCCCTCTGGGATCTGAGGTGTCCCCTCTGTGTCCCCCCAGGATCTGGAATGTTCCCTGTGGGATCTGGGGTGTCCCCTCTGACCTCTCTGTGTGCGCTGGGACTGGGGGGGGGTCCCCTCAGCTGCACATTTCGGCTTTTTCCCTGGATTTTCTTTGGGGAATTTCCTTTGTTCCCATCCCAGTTCCTGCCTCCCCTCCCCCCCAAATCCCCTTCACAGCAACACCCGGGAGCAAACCCAGACATTTCGGGGAACAAGGACAGTAAATCCAAATGGGGGAGGGCTGGGGGGGTCCCCAACTTTTCTGCCCCCCCCCTTTTTCCATGTTTTTTTTCCAAATTTGATTTTTTTTGGTTTTTTCTTCTCTTTAATTAATTAAAACTTCAGAACAAATTAAATCAATGAAATGAGCTTTAAAAATGTTTTTTTTGGGGGGAGGAGGAACTCAGGGATGGGGGTAGGGAGGGTTGTCTGTGTGTGTCCCCCCAGCTCACCTGGGCCAGGTAAAGAGGGGGGGCCCAGTTGGCTCTCGGGGTGCCCCAAGCAGCCCCTCCCCAGGGGTAGCGACGACTTTATTGGAAGCAGTTTGGGATGGGGGGGGTGCTGGGGGTCCCACCCCCCCAGTGCCAAACTGGGACCCCAACCCCCCCTCACCCCTCACTGCTGGGCCAGCTTGGCCGCCTCGGCCTTGATGAGGGCGATGAGGTCCTGGTTGATGAGGAAGACAAAGCGCAGGCTGGCGATCTGGGGGGGGACAAAGCGGGGCTTGGTGGGACCCCTGGGACCCCTCAGGACCCCCAGGGACCCCCCGGGACTCCCCGGCCCCACCTCGACCACAGAGTTGTTGTTGAGCTTCCACTTGTTGCCCCCCAGGACGGGGCGGCCGTCGATGTAAATGGGGCGCCGGCCCTCGTTGGCGATGAAGAAGTCGCCGTTGTTCTTCAGCTTGATCACCCCTGGGGAATTCCAGGGATTTAGGGGAGCCGGGGGCTTCCAGGGCATCCAGGTGGGGATGGGGGGGGCAGGAGGGGGCCGGGAATGACCCCCAAAGCCTGAGCAGAGGAACCTCCCCCTCGTGAGGGGCCCCACGTTTGGGAGGGGGGGGGAGTTTGGTAACACCTGGCAGGTAAACCGTGTTAGGAGAGGGGGGGATGCAGCCCCCTGACCCCCCCGAGCTCCCCAAACCACCCCCCAAACTCCCCCAAAGCCCCCCCAGCCCCACCTTGTTTGCGGGAGATCTTCCAGGCCGGGCCCTCCAGTGCCAGGTCCACGTCGATCTGGTTGTCCTTGGTGGCCCTGCCCAGGGTGATCTTTGGGGGGGAGATTCGGGGGGGTTTGAGGGGTCCCTGGGAGGATTTTGGGGGGTGGGGATATTTTGGGGTGTCCCAGCTCTGGATCCACCTCCTGGGAGTGCACGAGGTACCGGGGAAGTTTTGGAAGTGATTTTTGGGGTGTTTTGGGGGGTGTTTTACCTCTCGGGAGCGCATCAGGTACCGCACCATCCGCCCCCGCAGCACCGCCAGCGTCTGGCTGTCGAAATCCGGGGAGCTCATCCCTGGAATGGGGGGACACACAGACACAGAGGGAGGGACAGAGGGACACTGGGAGTTAGTGGGACACAGAGATACCAGGGACAGACAGATGCCAGGGACACAGAGGGACATGGGGGGGGACAGACAGACAGACAGCCCACCTGTGATGGAATCCACCAGCACCTGCCACTTGTGCAGCTCCTGCTCCAGCTGCCGGATCTCCCGTTTCTGCCGCCGATCCGCCACCGTCAGCTCTGGGGGGGACAAAGGGGGTTCTGGGGGGGGCTGGGAGGGTCCCTGACCCCTCCCCCGGGGGTCCTGGAGGTTTAGGGGGGTTCAGGAGGGGGGGGACACTCACCGTGCTCCAGCACCTCGTCCCGCACATCCCTGCCCAGGAGAAGGGGAGGGTGGGATGGTGAGACCACCCCCCAGGACCCCAGCCCCCCAAAAATATCACTGGGGCTCCCTGGGACACCCTGAACTCCCCAGGGGAGGCCCTGACCCCCTCCCAGCCCCCCCCAAACAGCCCCCAGCCCCCTCAACCCTCCCTCAGTCCCCCCCAAACCCTCCCTTGAGCTCCCTGTGCCCATCAAACCCTTGAGCTGCCAACACCCCCAGCCCCCCCAAAACCTTCCCTTCACCTCCCAGTCCCCCCAAACTCTCCCTTGAGCCCCCCAAACCTCACCTGACCTCCCTGCCCCCACAAAAAAAACCCTTCCCTTCATCTCCCAGTCCCTCCCTTGACCTCCTACTTCCCCCCGCTCCCCCAAAGCCCCCCCAGACCTCCCCAAGCCCCCCCCACCTGAGTTTCCCGTCATCCACCATCTCCTCGGCGTCCGAGAAGTTCAGCACTTGGTCCCCCTTGGGCAGGGGCTGCACTGGAGGGTGGGAGGGGGGGGGGGAGGGGCTGGTGACCCCCCAGGCCCCCCAGTGCCACCCAGGCCCCCCCTCACCTGTCTGGTCCTGCAGCAGGTGGTACTGGCGCAGGAGCTGCCAGTGCAGCTGCAGGGCCTTGGGGGTCCTTGAAGGGTAAAACACCTCGGGGTGTCGGAGCAGCAGGTCCTGGAAGGTCTCCAGGGAGGGCTGGGGGGTCTGAGGGAGGCAGGGGACATGAGGGGGATGTGGGGGGACACTCTGAGAGGCAAAGGGAAACGTGGAAACCCAAGGGGACACGGAGGGATGTGAGGGGACACAACAGGAGGGGCCAGGAGGGGACACAAAGGGACACTTGGGAACTCCCCACTGTCCCCAATCCCACCCTGATGAGCAGCTGGGGGGGTCAGGGGACATTTGGGGACACTTTGGGGCTGTTTGGGGCCACTCACCGAGGGGACTCTGGTGAGCAGCTGCTCCTCAGCTTTGCTGAACAGGACCTTGCTCTGCACGGCGGCCACAGCCTCGGGGTGCAGCGAGCGCATGGCCTGGCAGGCCAGTCTGGGGGACCCGGGGGTGAGACCCCCAGGGACCCCCAGCCTGGGGGAGACCCCCCAGAGACCCCCAAGGACAGCCGAGATATGAGACCCCCCCGAGGACAGGTGAGACCCCAAAGGACGACCCGGACCCCCAGGGAGGGCTGAGACGCTCCTCAGGGACACCTGAAACCACCCCCTGGGGACATCCCGGCTCCTCTGGGGACACCTGAGACCCCCTGAGCCCCCCAGGACCCCCGAGCCCCCCAGGACCCCCGGCTCCCCCTCACAGACCCCTGGATGCCCCCCGAGCCCCCTCACTTGCAGATGACGGGGTCGTAGAGCAGCGCGTACCAGCGCTCCTGGATCTCCCTCAGGGTGAAGCGGCAGCTGAACTTCACCCCCAGGTGGACCGAGGTGAGGTCGTTGGTCTGGGAACACCCCCAGGTCAGGGGAGGGGTCTGGGGGGTCTCCCCAAACCCCCCCAGGCGAGGGGGAGCCCCCAGCCCACCTGCAGCACGGCGTTGATGAGCAGCAGGTCGTCAGCGGGTTTCCAGCGGCCGAGGTCCCGCGGCACCGCCGGGCTCTGTTTGCTCTTCTTGAGCCTCTTGGGCAGCCCGGGGGGGGGCCCGGGGGCCGCGGGGGGGGGGGACTGCCCCCCACGCCGGCTGTGGGGGGGGGGGGGGGCACAGGTTTAGAGGGGTCTCTGGGGGTCCCCAGGCTGCTGGGATGGCCCCAATGGCTTCTGGATGTCACCAATGGCTTCTGGATGTCCCCAGCAGCCATAGGGGAGAGGGGGGGTCCCAGGCCTGGGGTCATGGGGGGGCACCACCCCCAATATCTGCATGGGGGGGGCACAGGGGGCTCTGGGAGCTCCCCAATGGCTCCTGAATGAACCCGGACGACCCCAATGACCCCGGGATGGCCCCAGGACCACCTGCCCTGGGACTCCCCCACTGGCCCCAGGGTGTCCCCAATGTCCCTGTGCTGCCCCCAGTCCCCACCCGGCCCTGACCTTCCTCCTGTCCCCCGGGGGGGGGGTCGGGGCCAGGCCGAGGGGGGGGGCTCTGGGCCCCCCTTGGCGCGGCTCGAGGACTTGGCCAGGCTGCTCTCGACCAGCTCGTCGTCGAACTTCTTCCTCTTGATGAACCTGCCGGGGGGGGCACGGGGAGGTACAGACATGGCACCAGACCCCCCTGTGCCCCACACCCTGCCTGGGGTCCCCTGTGCCCCCCCAGTGTCCCCCCACGTCCCCCACCCCCTACCACGTCACCTCCAGTGTCCCCTCGTTGTGGCTCATTCTCAGACCCCTCCCAAGACCCTCCCAGACCCCCCAAGACCCCCAAAACTCCCAAAGCCCCCTGTACCTGGAGGAGCTGCAGCATTTGGGGACAGTCCCCAGGGGACCCCTCCAGCCCCCCCTCGTTGTGGTTCATTCTCAGCGCCCCCGACCCCCACCAAGGCTCCCCCGGCCCCCCCCGGACCCCCGTACCTGGAGGAGCTGCGGCGTTTGGGAACAGTCCCCGGGGGGGGGGGGCCGGGCCCCTTTTGGTCCCCCCCAGGGACTCCTCGTCCTCCGAGCGACTCGTGGCCATGGGGGGTCCTGGGGGGGTTCCTGGGGGTCTCTGGGGGGGGCACAGCAGGTGGGTGTGTCACCCAGTGCCCCCCCCGGGGCTGTCACACCCCGGCGGGGTGGATTCGGGAGGGATTTGGGGGACAATGGGGATTGGAGGGGGTCCTGTCACACCTCCGGGGGGCAGACTGGGGGGGGTGGGGGCCATGAGGAGACACGGGGGTGACAACGGGGGGGGAGAGGAAAAGGGCACAACCCGCCGGCGCGAGGGGGACTCGGCCCGGGCCTCGTGCCCCTCCCGCCGTCCGCCAGCCCCGTGTCCCCCCCCGAACCCCTCCCGGCCCCCCCCACCCCCCCCGGACCCCCCACTCCCCCTCAGGCCTCACCAGCCCCGGCATCCCCGGGCCGCCATGGCCGCTTCCCTTCCGGAAGCCGTGATGTCACCGAAGCCGCGGAGGCCGCCGCCATGTCAAAAGTTCCTCCCTTTCCCTCGCGGCGTGACGCCATCTTGACTAAGGGCAGGGTCGCGCCCCCTGCGTTCTGAGCCGGAGATGAGGGAGGGCCGGGGGCGGCCGCGTCCAACTCACGAGGGTGGGAACGGGACGTGCCCGCTTATCCCGGCAGATACAGATTGTTCCGGCCGTTGAAGCGGCCGTTCCCATCGTAGTGGCACCACCACTCACACTCATCATGGCGGCTGCCCGCACCCATCATGGCGGCCGCCGTCACGGCCTCACGGCACCCACCACCCACACTTATCATGGCGGGTGCCCTCACCCATCATGGGGTCCTGGAACTTCCCGATCGATCCGATGAAATTTATTCCATCTAATTAATAAAACTGTGTAGTTTGGCTGCTGGAATATCCACTAGCTCTTGTGTCTGAGCCAGGAGCCAATTTAAGGGCCATTTTTAGGGGTTCCTACAGCCTCTGCTGAGCCAGGGGCTGTTTTAGGGGTTTGCACCAACACCCCAATAACGCAGGGGCCAATTTAAGGGCCGTTTTAGGGGCTCCCCCCAGTCCCCCAATGAACCGGGGCAGTTTCAGGGGTTCAGCCCCCACTCCCACCCCATGACTGTCCCCAGGCTGTGAAGGACTCAGGCCCGGTGGGGGAACAGCACCTTTTATTGGGGTGAACGTCGCTGTGGGGCCGAGCTGACCCCTGGGACCAAACTGACCCTGTGGGGCCAAAGTGCCCCATGGGCCCGATGGCCCCATCCCGGGACAAACATTCCCAGGTGCTCCAGCACAGCCGGTGCCTCACTGGGACCTTCCCAGGGCACAGCCAGGGCAGGAAATCCCATGTCCCATGTTCCATGTCCCGTGTCCCAGGTTCCATGTCCCAGGCTCCGTGTCCGTGTCCATGTCCCCTGTTCCTGCTGCCATCCCCAGAGCACGGCCAGGGCGGACAATCCCGTGTTCCATGTCCTGTGTCCCCTGTTTGTGTCCCATGTTTCATGTCCCATGTTCCATATCCCATGTTCCATGTCCTATGTCCATGTCCCTTATCCCATGTCTGTTTCTATGTCCCACACCCCGTATCCCATGTCCATGTCCCACATCCCGCACCCCATGTCAATGTCCCATATCCCACACCCCACACCCATGTCCTGTATTCCACATCTGCATCCCATATCCCATGTTCTACACCCCATACCCCGTGTCCGTGCCCCCCGTGCCCACCCCCCATTTCACAGTGGGGGGGGTCTATGCGGAGCTGGGGGTCCCGCGTCCGTCCGGGGGCTCGGCGGGGCTGGCGGCCCATTCCTGCCTCTGGATCGTGCCCGTCCTGCCCTCGAGGAGGTGCCGCCGCTGCTCCCGCGGGATCCGCACGGCGTGGTACTGCGGCACGGCCGGGGGGGGGCACGGCGGGCACGGCGGAAAAACCCCACCTGGGGCACCGGGGGACAGGTCAGGGGACAGGGGATGGGTCACGGGGGCCAGGGGGGTCAGGGGGATCCGTCCCTCACCTTCCAGAGCCCGAGGACCAGCAGGGACAGCAGGAGGATCCCGAGCAGCACCGCCAGCGGGACCACCCACCACGGGACCCCCGCCACTGCCACCCCCGGGTCCAGGTGGATGGACACCGACATCTGGGGGGGGCAGGGGGGGTCAGAGGGGTCCGGGGGAGTGGGGGGGCTCAGGGGGGTCAGGGCAGGGGTCAGACCTGCGTGGCCGCATCCTTGAGCACCAGGTTCTTGCTGGGGGAGGTGACGGAAACCTCGGCACGGACGATCAGCTCCAGCGAGGAGACATCCAGGAATTCCTGGTGGGAACACAGGGGGAGTCCGGGCCGGGCTGAACCCCCTTTCCCCCCCATCGCCGCCCCCTCACCCCCCCCAGCCCCGGTACCTCCAGGAAGGTGCCGTTCCAGAGGCGGCCCCGCGCCCGCAGCTCCGAGCGCTCCAGGGTGGGCAGCGGGCACCGGAACGGGCGGCAGCGGGCAGTGCCCCGGGCACAGTCCTGGGGGGACGGGAGGAGAATGGGGGGGAGACTCTGGGAATGGGGGAAGACCCCGGGAATGGGGGAAGGGGGAGGTGTCACACTGCAGCCTGAAACGGGACACCAGGAATGGGGGGACTCCAGGAATCAGGGGCCCTGGGAATGGGGGGACCCAGGACTGCATGTGCCAGAGCAGGGGCACCCCGGGAACAGGGGCACCCCAGGACTGTGCGTGCTGGAATAGGGGCACTCCAGGAGGGGCATTCCCAGAGTGTTGCCCCTTGAACAGGCCCCCCCAAAGCAGGACTGCCCCGAGCAGGGCCCCCCCAAAGCAGGTGTCCCCCCACTCACCAGTGTCACGTTCCTCCTCCTCTCTGAGGGTGCTGGGACCCACCAGGACCGGGGAGGGGGTGCCTGGGGGGGGGTCACCCTGTCCCAGTGGCTCCTGGGGGGAAGTAAGAAGGGGGCAGCAGGGACCCTCGGACACACCTGGGCACCCCCAGGCACCTCTGGACACCCCCGAGGCACCCCCGGGCACTGCTGAGCACCTCTTGGCTGCCCCTGGGCACCCCCATTGGCACCCCCCAGGCACCCCCAAACCCCCCCCAGGCACCCCCAGCCCCGTGGCCGTACCAGGGCGAGGCGCAGGGGGTTGGCAGAGGGGCTGCAGGGCACGGGGGGGGTACCCAGTTCCAGGCTCAGGGGGTACAGGAGCCACTTTCCGTTGGGCAGCTCGTGGGGCCAGTGCACGGTGAGGAAGGCAGAGCCCAGAGTCTTCAGCGCCTGTCCCCTGTGGGACACCTGGAGGGGGCACGAGACCCCCACCCCATGAGTGCCACCCACCCCACAAACACCCTCCGCCCTGTCAATGCCACTCACATGGACCCCCCCAGACCCCTAAACACCCCCCACCTCATAAATGCCCCCCCCATGGGCCCCCCCCCAAAATGATCCACCCACATGGACCCCCCGCTCCACAAATACCCCCCCACCCCACAAATGCCCCCACAAGAACCCCCCCAGCCCACAGACACCCCCCGCCCCACTCGCGGCTCTCCCGTGGGGTCCCGGGGGGGGACTCACCGTGACCTCGAAGGTGACGGCGCTGCCCACCTGGCTCTCCCTGCGCACGGCGCTCTCCCCCCGCACCTCCCCCCCGAAAAACAGCCGGGGGGGCACGGCCACTCTGGGGGGGACAGACAGGGGTCAGGGGGGGCCCGGAGGGGGTTCCGGGGGGGTCCTGGGGTGGTCCCGACCCCCACTTACCCCGTCATGGAGAGGGGCAGCTCGAGGACCACCCGGGCACGAGCGACCACCGGCTCCAGCCCCGGCTGTTCGCTGATCCTGGGGAGGGGTCGGGGGGTCGGGGGGGGGCAGCACCCAAACTCCCCCCGTGCCGTGCCCAGAGCCCATCGTGGGGGGCTGAACCCCCCCAACCCTGCGGATCCAACCCCCAAAGCCCCCACGGCTTCACCCCAAATCCTGGGGCCTCCATGCCCTAAATCCTGGGTGCTCCAGCCCCCAGACCCCCCAGGCCTCTGGTCTCCAAACCCCCCGGGGCTCCACCAGACCCCCCCCAGGGTCTCCACCCCAACCCCGGGGGTCTCCACCCCCGCCCCCCGCTCACGTGGACAGCGCGAGCTCCACCGCCAGGTCCGAGGTGTGGATGGTTATTCCCGAGGTGCCGAGGATGAGGAAGAACCGCACCTGGGGGGGCACAGGGGGGGCACAGGGGGGAGCGCTGGGGCTGGGCCAGGGGGCGGGGGGGGGGGCACAGGGGGGAGCGCGGGGGCTGGGCCAGGGGGCGGGGGGGGGTGAGGGATTGGGGAGGGGGCTGCGCCCACCTGTGCTCCGCGTTTCAGGGGGTTCCCCAGCTCACACTCCACCTGGGAGCCGTTCTGGTTGGCGAGGCACAGCACGGGCTTGTCCTGGGGGGCACAGGACTGAGCCCCCACTGCGGGCACCCCCAGCCCCCTCCCCACACCCTCGCCCCCCCCAACCCCCCTGGCCCCTCACCCCGAGCCCCCCGCCCTCGTCGGGCCGCAGGGCCGCGTAGGGCAGCTCCGGGGGGGAGGGTGGCCGTGAGCTGGGCCTGGTGGGCGTCGTCCCCGTCCCGCTGCGGCTCCGCCGGGTCCGACGGCTCGTTGGTCACCAGGACCTCCAGGGCCACGTCCTTCTGGTCACTCATGGCGAAGATGGCAGTGCCATCCTCGGCCCTGGGGGGGCACAGCCAGGGTCCCACACCTCCGGGACCATCCCACACACCCCAGACCCCCAGGACCATCCCACACACCCAGGACCATCCGCCCCACACCCCCATCGCCCCCCGGGTGGGCACTGCCCCCCGGCCCCCCCCACCTGGGCAGGGGCAGGAACTCGCTGTCACCGCGGCGGGCACAGAACTGGAAGTGCAGCCGGAGGTTGCTCTGGCAGATCTTGTCATCCCCGCAGCCCTGGCGCAGGAAATGCACCTGGGGGGGCACGGGGGGGCACTCAGGGGGGCTCCGGGGGGGACGGGGCAGGTACCCCTGGGAGGGCCAGGCCCCCCAGGCCGGTGGTCCCTGGCAGTGCCCACCTCGGCGCGGTGGGTGCTGGGCTGGTGGGGGCTGAGCGCGGGGGAAAGGGGGGGCAGCACAGCCCCCCGCCCCCCCCGGTGCCCCCCAGGCCCCCGGATCCCGTAGGCCAAGGTGACAACGATGGGCCGCAGCTTGTCCCGGATCCCGTCCTGGGGGGACACAGAGAGGAGGAGGAGGACAGAGGGAGGAAGGTCAGGGGTCACTCAGGGACCTGGGAGGTGTTGGCACAGCTGGGGGGGGGCCGTGGGGGTGGGATTGAGGAGGGGGACAAGGATGAGGATGATGAGGATGAAGGTGGACACAGGAATAGGGATGAGAAGGATGAAGATTGGGAATGGGAACAGGGATGGGACGGGGATGAGGATGAGGTTGGGGACAGGGATGGGGATGCTGAGGATGAGGATGGGGCTGAGCACCCACGTGCAGCTGGAAGGTGGGGGTGACACAGGCCCGGCTGCGCTGCCGGGGCAGCTCCAGGGTCCCAGAGAGTTGGTGCTCAGGGTCTGCGGGGCCGCGGCCCAGGAACGACCCCCGGGGGGGCTTGGCCACGGCGCCGGCGCTCGGTGTCCACGTCCAGCACGAACTCCAGCTCTGGGGACACACGGGGGAGGAATCAGGGAGGGGAGGCAGCAGGGATTGGGGGTCCTGGGGGCGGGGGTACGTGGGGGGGGGGGGTCCCTCGGGGGTCTCACCCAGGCGGGGGCTGTAGCTCGCAGGACTGGCCGTGTAGCTGAAACAGGCTCGGACCTCCACGCTGGGGGGAACACGGGGTCAGACGGGGGGGCAGCGGCCCCCTGGGCCCATGCCCGGGGAGGGGGTACGGGGGGGCTGGGGGCACCCACCAGACGCCCTCCCCGTGGTGACAGTTGCTCTGCTCCAGGTCGATGGTGGGGGGCAGCAGCGACACGTTCCGGGACACGTGGACCACCGGGCGGGCCCTGCCGGGGGCAAACGGGATCCCAGAGCGGGCACCCCCCTCCTGAGGGAACCCCCCTCCTGAGGGCACCCCCAGCTCTGCAGGGACCCCCAGGGCAAGGGATGCTCTGGGAGGGGTTGAGGGAGCCCTGGGACGGGGGGTCCTTAGGGGTGGGGGTCAGCAGGGAGGGGGGGATGCCCAGGGGTGTGGGGGGTCCTTGGGGATCCAATCCTTGGGACTGGGGGGGTCTCTGGAGATGGGGGCAGTGCAGGGTTGGGGACTCCTCGGGAATGGGGGTCCTGGGGGATGGGGAGCTCCAAAGGATTGAGATCCTTGGGAATTGGGGGGGATGCTCAGTCTCGGGGGTCCTCGGGGCCGAGGACTCCCAGGGGTGGTCCCAGGGGTCCCGGGGACGGGGTCTCACCTGTAGAGCACCACGGTGTCAGACAGGGACCCCACCAGCAGGTCGGGGTACAGGTTCCCATCCACGTCCAGCCCCCCCCGACAGGGAATACCCGAAGGTTGGGACCCCCACGGCCTCCCCGTCCAGGACCTGGGGACACCGGGAGGTGACAGGGGACCCCGTGGGGGCCCTGGACGGGGCAGCCCCCTCCTCACCGTCCCCCCCCTCACCTGGGCCGGCCTGGCCACGATGCCCAGGGCGCTCCCGTGGTAAATGAACACTTTGCCGGCGCCGTCGAAAGGGGCTCCCACGGCCAGGTCTGGGGGGGCAACGGCAGCTGGGGGGGGCACAGAGCCCTCCCGGGACCCTCTTGGGGGGACGGCCCCCAGTGCCACCATCCCCGGCCCTTGGAGACCCCAACCCCGCCCCCCGAACCCTCGAATCTGTCCTGGTTGAGGTCCTGGTGCCACCATCCCCAGTTTTTGGGGCATCCAGAGCCCCCCAAACCCCTCACCATCAAAGCCGTCCTGTTTGTGGTCCACAATGGCACCACCCCCAGCCCTTGGGGACCCCAAATCCCCCCAAACCCCCCATCCTCTAATGCATCACGGTCAAAGTCCCCAGTTCCACCATCCTCAGCCCGCAGGGACCCCAAAACTCCCCCAAATGCCCCCCAAACCCCCTCACCCTCAAAGCCATCATGGTTGAGGTCCCCGGCCGTGCTCAGGGCGGTGCCAAACATGGACCCCCGGGTGCCGTTGAGCCTCAGGGGGGTCACGGTGTCCCAGAGCCCCCCGGGGTTGATGTAAACATAAACAGCCCCCCCCGATCTCCTCCTGGCGCTCAAAGAAGTGGGGGGCCCCCACCACCAGGTCCATCCACCTGAGGGAACACGGGTCTGTCACCTCCTGGGTGACCCCCAAAGTGTCTGGGTGCCCCCAGACACGGCACTGGGATTTTGGGGGGATTCAGGGATTGGGGGGGTCCTTGGGGATCGGGGGGGGATGCCCAAGGATGAGAGTCCCGGGGGGCAGGGAATTCCAGGGATTGAGGGTTCCTTGGCAATGGGGGGGGGCCCCCGGCCTGGGGGCCCCCGGGGATGGGGGGGGGGGGGGTCCTGGGGAATGGGGGATCCCGGGTTGGACTCTGCCCGGGGGGGTCCCACGGGGGGTCCCCCCGCGCTCACCCGTCGCTGTTGAGGTCGAGCACGGCCAGGGCGTGCCCGAAGGCCGAGCTGAGCTGCGGCCCGGGCAGCACCGCCTCGGGCACCAGGCGGTTCGCGCTGTCGCGGCGCAGGATCACGACAGCCCCGGTGTGGTTGGCGCGGGGGGCGCCGGTGACAAAGCTCAGCCCCCCCCCGGCGCGTCAGTCCCGCGCCCGAGTCAACCGAGAACCCTGCGGGGAGCGGGGAGAGGGTCGGTGCCCACCCGGACCCCGGAATGCCCGCGCTGTCCGTCCGTCAGTCCCACCCTCTCTCTCTGCTCGACCACTCTGGGACCCCCGTGGGAATGAGGGAATTCCCCTCGTGGGAACGGGGGGAGTGGGGGGATTCCTCTGATGGAAATAGGGAGAATGGGGGAATTCCCCCGCGGGAATGGGGGGCCCATGTGCCTCAGTGTCCCTGCTCTTCTTGCCTGGGGAGGGCAGGATCTGGGGTCCCCCCAACTTGGGTAGGGGGCTGAGCCTTTTGGGGGTGGGGGGAGAGCGACGAGCAGCCCCCCCCGGCATTGCCAGAAGGGAAGGTTTGGGGGAAAAAAGGGCAGATTTGGGGACCAGAGCAGCAGATTTTGGGCTGAGAGAGCGGGGGGAGCCCCTTCCCCACATGCAGCTATTGCAGAGTGCAGCCCCCGCAGCCCCCCACGGCCACCTGAGCCCCCTCGCAGCCCCCCGAGCCCCCAGCCAGGCTCCAGCCGCCCCCCCAAAACCGTGCACCCCCCCATGCAGAAACATCTCCGGGGGGACAAGCAGGGGGACGGGGGGTGCTGGGGGCCACGCCAGGCTCGGGGATCCCCCCTCCAGGGCTCTGTTTCCCCCCCCCCCCCCCGAGCTCTGCCCACCCTCCCTCAGCCTGGCAGTGCCCCCAACACAGCCCGGGCACAGCGACGGGACACAGGACGGAAGGGGGGGACAGGAATGGGGGAACAGGGATTGGGGACACGGGAATTGGGGGGACAGGACTGCAGGGACAAGGAATGGGGGGAGACAGGGATGGGGGATGGACACAGGAGGGGTGGGGGGTGCAGGGGGGGCTGTGGCCACACGTGTGCACGGCTGCGTGTGCGGGGGGACACGGAGGGGACGTGTGGACAGAGAGAGAGAGAGAGGGGCATGTTTGGGGACAGGGATGTGAGGGGGGACAGGGGGATCCCCAGGACTGGGGACAAATGTGTGCGGGGGGGGACGTGTGTGTGTTTGGGGGGGACACATGTCCAGAATGACACGCGTGTATGGGGACACGTGAGAGAGGGGATGTGTCTGTACAGGGCACACGTATGTGCGCGATGACACGTGTGTGCACACGGGCTCCCACAGGGCCCCTCAGAGCCTGGGTCTGTCCCCACAGGTGACATGGGTGACACGGCACAGGACAGGCTGCAGGGGGGGGCACGCACGGCACACACATGGCACACACATGGCACACACATGGCACACGCGTGGCACAGCCGTGGCACACACGAACCCATGTAGCTATTGTGGGCCACGTCTGGGGCGGCGCCGGGGACCCTCTCGCCGGGCTGGGGGGTCCGGAAGACCCTCTGGTCGGGGGCAGCGCTCTCAATGTTTGTCACAAAGAGCAGCCCTGGGGGGTGGGGGGTGGGCGTCAGGGCGGGCACGGGGGGGGGCGCGGGGGCCGCGGCAGCCGGGGGGGACCCCCGGGCCGGGCCCCCCCGTACCGAAGTAGCTGTTGGCGGGCACGGGGATGAGCGAGGGGTCCTGGTCCTTCTCCCCCCCCCGCTTCGAAGGGACCGGCGTCCGGGCGCAGCAGGTCCAGAGAGCTCTGGTTGAGCTGCTCCACGCGCAGGGTCCCTGCGGGGGCCGGGGTGAGGGGAGACACCACGGGGACCACCGGGGGCACCCCCGGGAACACCACTGGGACCCCCAGGGACCCTTCTGCACCGGCGAGTTCTGCTTGAGATGCTCCATGCTCAGGGTCCCTGGGGGAGCCCGGGGTGAGGGGGCTGGGCAGGGGACACCAGGGGGACCCCCAGGGACTCCAGGGGGACCCCCAGAGATCCCTCATGTTCCAGGGGGACTCCCAGGGATCCCTCATGTTCCAGGGGGACCCCCAGGGATCCCTCATGTTCATGGGGGACCCCCAGGGATCCCTCATGCTCCGGGGGGCTCTGGTTGAGCTGCTCCACGTGCAGGATCACCTGCACACGTATGTGCATACCCGGCCCACCTGCCCAGGCAGGGGTTGCACTCACACCCCCACACCCCCCATTCCCGGGCAGCCCCTCACCCCTCCACCGGGCTGTCCAGGCCAACTCCTCACCCTTCCAGTTGTAGGTGCTGGGGGCCCAACGCAGGAACATCCACACACAGCCCACGGGCAGCCCCTCACACAGGTGGCCCCTCGCCCCTTGACAGGGGTCTGGGCTGCCCCCTCACCCTTCCAGTTGTAGGTGCCGGGGGCTCCAAGCAGGAACACCCACCCACACCTCACCCCCCCTCTCCTGGGCAGCCCCTCGCCCCTCCGGGGGGTTCCCGGCCCCCCTCACCCTTCCAGTTGTAGGTGCCGGGGGCCCCGAGCAGGACGTAGCGGCGGTCGGGGCTGAACGCGGCCGCCAGGCCCTGCTGGCAGGTGCCAAAGCGCTCGTGGCCCTGGGGCCGCCCCTCGCAGAACTTCCACTCGCCGCCGTCCAGCTCGTCCCGCACCCGCAGGTCCTGGCTCAGCACGAAGCACCTCCCGATCACGTCCCGCGTCTCCAGCGGCTGCCGCACCCGGTGCCGCACCTCGTACCGGTGGGCGCAGGTCTGGGGGCACCCAGAGGGGTCACGGGGTGCCGGGCCCCCTCCCCTGGGGGTGCCGGTGCCTCCCGCCTCCCGCCCCGGCACCCACCACGATCTTCCCTCCGGCTCCTTGGCTCTTCACGCTCACCCCCAGCCACTGGTTCTCTTTGCTCTCCCGCTGCGGGTCCACTGCGGGCACAGGGGGCAGGGTCAGCCCCGCTGGGACGCCCCCCCGGGACCCCCTGCAACCCCCGGGGAGCGCAGCTCACCTCCCTCATCGATGGGCACCCGCCAGCAGTCGGAGAGCTCGGGGGTCAGCGGGCAGGCGAAGAGCCCCCCGGTCCGGTTGGCACCTTGGCTGGGCAGCGCCTGCGCCTGGGGGGCCCCCACCAGCAGCCTGGCAGGGCACAGACCCCCGTCAGGTGCCCGGAGCCCCCCCCGGAGCCCCCCCCGGAGCCGTCACACGCCCACACCGATGTCCCCGTGCCCGGGCGGTGCCAGCCCGGCCGAGCAGCTGCTGCCCCGGCACCGTTCCCAGGCCTCAGCCGCGGCTCAGGGCACGGGTGGGTGCGGGGGGGACGCACACTCGGACCCCCCCCCGCTCCCCGACTGCCCCACCCGGGACAGCAGCGTTGGGGGCTCCCTGACCCCCACCCCGGGGTCCCCGAGGGGTCACACTCGGCGGGACAAGTCCGGTGCCACCGGGGGCTCCTCGGTGGCCACGGGGCACCTGCGGCCACCTCCGGCCCGTCTGCCCCGGGAGTGTTGGTGGCCTGGGGACACGGCCGAGCCCCGGGGGGTGGCAGAGAGGCAGAGCCGGTAAAAATAAACTGGAATTCACTCAAAATAACCCCGCAGCAACATGCCCAAAAAAGGAGGGAGGCACAGGGAGGCACCGAGTGCCCCCCGGAGCCAGGCCAGGGCACCCTGCGAGGGGACCGGGGGGCACCGGGCGGACGGGCGGGGGCTGCGGGTGCGGGGCCGATGGGACCGAGCCCAGCGCGGCTCCGCAAACACCCGCAGCGGCCACCGGGAGCCAAAAACCGCCCTCGGCGCCAAGAACTTGGCGCGGGAGGGAATCGGGTGACAACGGTGACAACGGTGACAACGGCGCCACCGGGGGCACGGGGACGGGCGGGAACGGGGGGCTACAAGGGGGCACACGACGGTGACACTGCCCAGAGACCTGCCCGCTCAGGGGCTCTCCGGTGCTGAGACCCCCGGCAGGAGCCCGGGGGCTGCCAGGGGGACATGGGGGGACTCGGGGAGCCCCGCGGGCTGTGGGACACGGGGACACGGGGAGTGGGGGAGACGAGGACACGGGGGCTGGGGGACACGGGGACGGGGGACACGGGGGCGTGACGGGGGTCTCGGCAGCCGCGGGTGGGCGTTCGCCGCAGCGGCCGCGGGGGAAGCGGCGGTCACGGCCCGGGGGGCCCAGCCGGGGGGGGCCCTCCACTCGAGCACCCCGGGGATGCAGCGATGGACCCCCGAACCCCCCCAACACCCCCCCGATTCCTGTCCGCGGTTAATGCTGAATAATCCCGGGCCGCGCAGGCGGCGACTCCGCGCCTGTCCCCGTCCCCTCGGAGCCGCAGCGCGGGTGGGTGGGTGGGTCGAACCCCCCGCGAATCCCGAGGACCCCAGCCCCGGTCTCCGGTTCCTCCCGCCCCGGGGCTCCTTCCCTTCCCATTCCCGGCGCTCCTGGGCTCGTCCAGCCCAGGTCCCCTCCCGGAGCCGGGACTCCCGGTCCTGCTTCAGCCCCCCAGTCCCGGGGCTCCAGATCCCCCTCAGTCCCGGGACTTGCGGTCCCTCCCATCCCCGGGGTCGGGTGCCCCCACCGCAGGTCTCCGGTCACCCCCATCCCCGGGGGTCGCCCCCCGCACTCACCACCCCGCCGGTTCGGGGCTCAGCTGCCGGTGCAGCGCCACGGCGGCCCCGAAGAGGCTGCCCCGCTCGCCGTCCTTCAGCACGGGGCTGCTGCCGTCCAGGTTGAAGGCGGCGACCGCGAGCAGCCGCAGGGCGACCCAGGGCAGCCACCGGCACCGGCCCCGGGAGCGGCCCCGGGGACCCTCCATCCCGCCGCCGCCGCGCCCCGGCCCCGCCGCTCCGCCGCCCGCGGGAGGAGCTCGGGCTGTCCCGGGGAGGGGGCTCGGCCCCGGCCCCGCCCGCCCGCGCAGGGGAATCCCCCGGGAGTCCCACCCCGGGATGGGGCTGAGCATCGCGGCACGTGTGGCGGGGACTGCTCCGTATGGCAGGTGGGACACAGCAGAGGGAGGGGGACCAACACAGCCCCTCTGAGGTCCCCTCCCACCTCCATCCTTGGGCTGGGAGAGGAGGAACCCCCTGAACCCCAAAACCAGGAGGAGAGGGCCCCACACCCCCACTCTGAAGGGGCCGGTGCCCGTGTGGGCTCCTGGGGGGACACGGGGGGTGAGCAGTGCCAGGACCCCCAGGAGTGTTCAGGACATGGGGGGGCAGCGGTGCCAGGACCCCTGGGAGCAACTGTGACCCCAGCTTGGCCCCAGGCCCCCCACGGCCGTTTTTGGGGGGGACTGGGGGGTTTGTCATATTTTCCAGCTCCCCGGCTATTTTTATCCGCTCTCCAAAGGCCTTTGGAGATATTTGGGAGCTGCCAGGACCATGTGAACGAGCTCCAGCGCCGCTGGAAGCACCCCCAGCTCCTCCTCCTCACCTTTGGGGGGTACCAGAGCAGGCCCAGGAATGTCCGTGCCCCCCATTTTCCCCTCCCAGATGCCCCCCACTCTTCCCACTTTCCAGCCCAAATCCCTTCCCGGATGTGGGAACAGCCTGGGAGTGGAGGACGGGAATAGACCCATTCCCAGGGGGCTGCTTGGCCTCCTGCCCCCCCCGGGGGGCTCCCCAGGGAGGAGGATCTGCTGGACAACCAGGAAGGACATCGGGAAGATGGATAAACCAGGATTCTGGGTGGTGATGGCACAGAGGAGACCCCAAAATCTGCTCCGGGGAGTAACAACCCAAACCTCGGAGGAATGAGCTCCCGAGGCTCCAAATCCAGGTTGTTTTCCCTCAAAATGAGCCGAACCTGAGCTCTGGGATGGACCCTTGGGGGTCCCAGCCTGGAGCTCCCCCCGTTCCTGGAGATGTGCTGGAGGCAGCAGCTGCTCCTGATTAGAACCCAGGGATCCTTTGGGATGGGGATTTCCAAACCCAAAACTGTCCCGTGACCTCGTCCCACCTCGGCACTTCCATACACGGAGCCTCCATCCCCTCTGTCCCCTCTGTCCCATCTCCAGGGGGTTCTTTTTGGGACAAGCTTCCCAAAAAGTGGAGGGATGTGCACACGGAGCAGGAGCGTTCTCATGACCGGGGGGGGTCAGAGTCAGGAATCGGGAGGAGAAAACTCCTTGTTGGGAGATTCCCTTCGCTCTGATTCTGACTGGGAGGGGAGCCCCGAGCTCCCTGAACCCGCAGCCTCATCCCAGCAGCTGCCGGTGGCTCCGGGGGGGCCGCGGGGCTGATCCCCACCCGCACGGAGAGGGCAAGTGCGGCCGGACTCATCCCGCTCCCACGGCCCCGGGACCGCGGCCAGGGCTGGGATGGGATCGGGAGCTCCGAGTGGGCGACGGGGAAGCGCTTCCCGGGGAGCGGCGGTGGGAGCGGCGCTGGGGCGGGGCAGGGACGGGAGGGAAGGAGGGAGGGAAACGCTCTGTGAACTCCGGGGAGGGCTGGAGGGGATCCCGAAATCCGGGATACCCCCGGAGCACCGTCCACGGGCGGGGGGAGGGACGGGAGCAGCTCCCCATCAGCACATTCCCAACGGGATGAGCACCTGGACAGGTGTCACCCCCCGAGGCACCCGGGCGAGGGTCACTTGTCACCTGCGAGGTCCCCACCGGGCACTGACCTCCCGTTCCTGCGGAAGGCGGGGCAGGAATTGCCGGGAATGGTCCCTGCCCACTCCAAACCCCGCCGGGACCCTCCCGGAGCCAATCCCGGGATGTGGGGGGGAGCAGAGGAATGCCGACAGCCCCCCCCCCCAATCCCAAAACACTCCTTGGCTCCCGGGGCCCCCGGGATCGATCCCGGAACCGCTCCCGGGGTTCGGAGGGGCTGGAACCGGAGTCGGGGTTATTTTTACCCTCCCGGGTTTATCTCCGGCCACGTTTCGCTCTCGGCTTCTGCGGGAATTCCGCCAGGTCCCTGCTGGGAGAACTGGGAGCGACTGGGAGCGGCACCGCGGGGCCACTGCGGGGAGGCGGAACCGGGACCCTGAGCCCCCTCCCCACTTTGATCTTCACCTTCCTCATCCTCCCTCCCCAACGCGAGGGAATGATGGATCTTCCTCATCCTCTGGGGCTGCTGAACCCCGGGGTTTGTGCCTTCCTCATCCTCCCTCCCCCTGCCCAAGGTGAGGGAATGACCTTCCTCGCGCTCCTCCTCCTCCCCTCGGGGTGACCCCAGCGGTTTTTTTGGCAGCCCCCACTCCCGGCTCTCCCGACGGAATTCCAGACCCCATACAGTCCCCTACAGACCCCTATAGACCCCATACAGTCCCCTATAGATCCCCTACAGACCCCTATAGACCCCATACAGTCCCCTATAGACCCCATACAGTCTCATACAGTCCCCTATAGACGCCATACAGACCCCTATAGATCCCATACAGTCCCCCATAGATCCCATATAGTCCCCTATAGGTCCCCGCATCGCCCCCCCCAGCCCCCCGGTCACGTGTCCCCGCGCGCTGTGTGACGTGTCGGTTCGGGAGTCACGTGCCGGTGACGTCACGGTCACGTGCCCCCGCCATGCTGTCGCGGCTGCTGAAGGAGCACCAGGCCCGGCAGAGCGAGCGGCGCGAGCTGCAGGGTGAGCCCCGCCCCCCGTCACCATGGCGACCGCGACCGCCCCCGCCCGCCATTGGCTGCGGGACCCGCCGCTCACCGCGGGCCCGCGCCCCATTGGTTGGCACGGCTGTCCGTCACGGAGGGGAGCGGGAGGGGGGGTGATGTCATGATTACGTCACGCACGTACTTGTTGACGTCATGGGGTTGGGGGTCCCGCCGCCCCTCACGGCCCTGTGTGTGTGTGTGACCCCCCCCATCCCCACACAGAGCGGCGCCGAAGGGACGCGATCGCGGCCGCCACGCGCCTCACTGAGGCCCTGGTCGATCACCTCAACGTGGGGTGAGCCCGCGACCCCCCGACCCGCACTGGGGACACCCGATCGGGGACCCCCGGATCCCCAACCTCCCCCCGGGGACCCCCAAACCACGGCTGGGACCCCCCGGACCCCGAGTGAGGATCCCCGGACCCCAAACCACAGCAGGGGACACCCAAACCCCCTTGAGGACTCCCTGACCCCCAAACCCCTGCCTGGTGACCCCCGAGGCCCGCAGACCCCCCTTCCCAGGGAACCCCAAGCCCCCAGCTGGGGACCCACCCACGACCCCCCACCCCCTCACCCCTTCCCCCCCAAACCCCTGCCCAACACACCCCCAGCCCCTCCCAACCCCTCCCCAGCTCTTTGTCCCTTTTTCGGGGGCTCCCCCTGCCCCGGGGGGGGTGTCAGGGCAGGACCCCACGGCCCAGCCCCTCCCGTGCCCCCCAGGGTGGCCCAGGCCTACGTGAACCAGCGCAAACTGGACCAGGAGGTGAAGACCCTGCAGGTGCAGGCAGCCCAGTTTGCCCGGCAGACGGGGCACTGGATCTCCATGGTGGAGAACTTCAACCAGGCCCTCAAGGTGGGGGACCCCTCTCCAAAATCCACAGCCCCTGGGGGGGGATCCCCCCCCTGACCTGCCACGGGGGGTGTCACTCTGGGACACCCCTGGGACTGAGTTGGGGCACTGGGGAATAAGGGGAGGGGGCACTAAGGGGGGGGGAAGAGGCCCCTGTGGTCTTTGGGGTGGGGCAGCCCCCAGACCCTTGGGTTTGTGCTGGAGTGGGTGGGCAGCACCCAGGGGTCTTGGGCAGCATCAAGGGGGGCTTGGGTGGCATCCAGGGGGTCCCAGGCGGCATCCAGGGGGTCCCAGCAGCCCCATGGGGCTGCATCTGCCAGAGGGAGGGACAGAGACCCCCCAAATCCCTGCGAGCCCTCCCTCCAGCATGGGACCCCCCCAAATCCCTGGGCCCCCGTGGGACCCTCCCAAACTCCCAGGACCCCGTCCCACAGGAGATCGGTGACGTGGAGAACTGGGCGCGGAGCATCGAGATGGACATGAGGACCATCGCCACCGCCCTCGAGTACGTCTACAAGGGGCAGCTCCAGCCCTCCTCCTGCTCCTGAGGGACCCCCGGGACCCCCAGGACCCCCAGCACCGCGGCTGCTCCCGGCACAGGACGGGGGTCCCACAGCAGCGGCTCCTGGAGCATCCCAGGGACCCCCCGTCCTGGGAGTGGGTGGAATAAAGTGTGGGGAGCTCGGGGAGGGGGGGCTGGGCCAGGCACCGGCAGGACCCTGGTACAGCCCCCCCGGGCCCCCCTAAGCCCCCTCATCCTCCTTAGTGCTTAACTCGGCTCTGAGGCTCCTTTTTCCTTGGGACAAAGGGCCCGTTCTGGGCTCTAAATCCCCCCGGGGGAGGCTCCGGGTGATGCCCCCCCTATTTCCCAGGGCTGGGAGGGGCCTAATCCCCCGGGGGAGGGGGCGATGCCCCCCCATCCCCCTGGACTGGTAGGGGGTCCCAGGGGTCTCTGTGTTCTCTGGGCAGGGTCTCCTCCATGGGGAGGGTCCCCCAACAAGGTGAGGGGGTCTCCCAGCCCCTCCAGAGGTGCCCAAGCCCCCCTTTCCCTGGGGCATCGCAGGGGGGGGAGCTCAGCCCCCGAGACCTTTGGCCGTGCTGGGCACAGGGAGGAGTGGCCACGTCCCCCCCCCAGCTCTCACGGGACCCCCCCACCTCACTCGGCCCCAGTGCCGTGGCCAGAGCAGCGCCTGGACCCTCTGCCCTCAGCAGGTAGGTGGGGACCCCCCTCTGCACCCCGACCCATGGGGGTCTTCCGTGGGGGTTCTGCCCAGAGAGGGGGTTCTGCCCCAGGGCCGGGTGAGGGGAGTTTGTCCTGTTTGTCCTGCCCGACCCCCTGGCTCTGGAGGTGCAGG